GCCTGGTCCTCACACCTATTATTCGGCCAAAAGGGAAGTCTAAAGGCCTGGGAAGGTGCTCTGGGCCTTCTCAGAGGAGCCTGGAACCAGAGTGGTGGCAGCGTCAGGTGACCCCCCACCTGAGCCGTGACACCTGCTGGTTAAGAAAGTAAAAGAGCGATCAATTCTTTATGAGCAGAGGCACAGCTGAACTCAAGGGAAAGGAGGGTGTTTCTGACAGAATCAAAATGAATGGAAAATGTGTTCCCATTGACATTCATTCAACCTGCCATAAATGCAATTTCTGATCGCTGAGATGTCTGGCTGTTAGAACGCTGAACTTTGAAATGCAAAGCATTCAAGAATACAGGCAGAGATGCAAAAAGAGAAGGAGCACAGAGTGGAGGACATTGCACCATCCGAGAACTCATTCCACAGAGGCTTATCTATCAAAGAACCCCGTGTGTCTGCTGCAGATCCCCTGCGCATTGCAGAGCATGATGGAGCTTCTTCACATGCAGCAACAGTGAGGTCTAATAAGCCTGGATTATTAGGCAGTTTGAGGTATAAACGATCTCCTGAAGCAATGCTTCACGAGGGTTCTTTTTAAAAAAAAAAAAAAAAAAAATAGGAGTGAGGCTGCAATAGGCTTACCCAGTGCCGGCGGGAGATCTGCGTGTCTTGGCAGGATCCCTGCCACGGGGACGGCAACACGCGTTGCACCCAATTAGAAACCCCAAACAGCCCCGTTGCCAGAGCGACACGTAGCGTCACTTCCTGGCGACGGCGGGTGCAACGCGTGTCGCCGTCCCCGCGGCAGGGATCCTGCCAAGACACACAGATCCCCCGCCGGCACTTGGTAAGCCTAGGCTGCAAGCTGTTTGGTATAGTGGTTAAGTGCGTGGACTGGGAGAACTGGGTTTGATTCCTTACTCCTCCACTCATAGCTGCTGGATGACCTTGGGCAAGCCGTAGTTCTGTCAGAGCTGTTCTCTCAAGGACAGTTCTGGAAAGAGTTCTCTCAGCCCCACCTACCTCACAGGGTGTCGGTTGTGGGGAGGGGAGGGGGAGGGAAAGGAGTTTGTAAGCCACTGTGAGACTCCAAGCGAAGGGTGGGATATAAATCCAATCTCCTCCTCCTCCTCTTCTTCTTTCTTCCAAGGAAGTTTGTCTAGTGACCTCCTCATCTAGGGGCACCAGTTAAACTTCCAAGAAAGCCCAGGGCTCCCTGGCATGTAGTTTGAATGACACTTGCCTAGAGGAACTCAGCATTTTGAGAGGATAGGAGGGAAGGCTCCACGGTATAGCCCAATCTTGGATGCTAAACTAGGTCAGTATGTAGATGGGAGACCACCAAGGAACACTCTGGAGAGAAAGTCAATGGCAAACCACCTCTGCTTCTCACTTGCCTTGAAAGCCCCTTGCTGGGATCACCATAAGTCGGTTGTGACTTGAGAGCACTTATATGTGAGTAACCACAAGAGGAGGACAAGAACAGTCGCTAGCATTGCACTGTCACTAGTCTAAATGATTCTTGTCCCTAATGAAGTAGATTGGGACCTTTGACCCAGTGAAGTTTGTGGGCTATAGATTCAGGAGAAACAACAAGAACAACATTTTCACTCAACAGCTATTTAAATGTTGGAGTTCACAGCCAGTGGGTGTAGCAATGAATCACCACAAGCATGGATGTCTTTTAAGGAGGATTCAACAGAATTATGGAGGACTAGCAGTAAAGCCCGTTGTGGAAATAAATACAACGAGATCTAGAAAGAGGCTCTGGGGGAGTGCTCTGGCTTTGGGCAAACAGTGTCATTTTGCTGTGGTGACCTCAGCAGGGTATAATGGCAGAGTCCACTGTTTTCTCCAGAGGAACTGATCTCTGCTCCCTGAAGAGCAGTTGTAATTTTGAGTGATCTGTAGCCCTCACCTGGAAATTGGCAACAATTATTACCCAGGACGAAATGGCTGGTTTGGAGGGTGGAGTCTATGGCATTCTACCTGTCTGATGTCCCACCCCTCCGCAAACCCCACCCTCTCCAGGCTCCACCCCTCAAATCCCCAGGAATTTGCCAGCCTGGAGTTGGCAACCCCATCTCCTTCCCAGCTAACCATCAACCTACCATTATCTGCCCCTTTGACTTCAGCTGACTTCCGCCCTCCCTTCTGCAGAGCAATTGTAATTTTGAGTGGTCTCCAGCCCTCACCTGGAGATTGGCAACAATGGTTCCCCATGAGGGACTGAGTGGTTTGGAGGGTGGAGTCTATGGCATTGTACCTGTCTGAGGTCCCACCCCTCCTCAAACCTCACCCTCTTCAGGCTCCATCCCTCAAATCTCCAGGAATTTCCCATCGGGAGTTGGCAACCCTATCAGGATTGGCCCCAATATGTTTTCTCCCAAAGGCCAAAGTAGGTGACTGGACCAAACTAAGTTGCCTACCATCAGGCACTGAGGGGAAAGTAGGGTTGCCAGCTATAAGGAGGGAAATACCGGGAGTTTTGGGGGGTGGATTCTGTAGAGGGCAGCATGGGGGGGGCGGGGGCGGAAGGACTCAGCAGGTATAATGTCATAGGGTCTACCCTCCAAAGCAGCCATTTTCTCCAGGGGAAACTGATCTCTGTCATCTGGAGATCAATTGTAGCAGTGGGAGATCTCCAGGTCCCACCTGGAGATTGGCAACCCTAGGGGAAAGTCAGCTGCACAGCAGGGGGTTGAAGAGAATGGTTTGATGGGTGCTGGGCCAAGATTGGCAACAATAGTTCCCCAGGAGCAAATAGCTGGGTTGGAGGGTGGAGTCTATGGCACTGTAACCTGTCTGAGGTCCCCCTCTCCGGCCTCCACTCCTCAAATCTCCAGGAATTTCCATACCTAAAGCTGGCAACTTTATCTCCTCCCCTCTCAGTAGCCTCTTATTTTGCCTTAAATTGGTTTTGATGCCAGCAGAGTGAGAAAATGCCAGAGGCTCTGGGTGGGTGCCTCATCGTAAATGCACCAAACAATTCCTAAAGATTTGCCAAAACACTACTCTGTCGACAAATTGCAGCACTTTGAATTAGCACCAGAGCTTTAAGAGCTCTCCAGCTGTCACCTGGAGACTGGCAACAGCTTGTTTGGAGGGTGGGGAGTATGGCATTGTATCTGTCTGAGGTCCTCCACTTTCTCTTCCTCCTCCTCCTCAGACCCCACCCTCAGCAGGCTTCATTCCTAAACTATCCTGGAAGTTTACAACCTGGAGTTGGCAACCCTATGTCCTTTCCAGGCAACCATCAGCCTAACCTTTATCTGCCTGTCTGTCTTCAAGTTTACTCCCCCCCCCCACACTCTCACCCCGGAAACCACATTGCCCCAGCCTCTGCCTAGGGAAAGCAGCTGTCATCATTCTCCTCTCCCCCTATGGGGTATGTTAAGGTTGAAAGTGTGTGAATGGTCCATAATCCCCCAGGCTGCTCTTAAAACATGTTCCTGGGACCTACACACCACCAGACATTCCAACTGCCTTGCGGGGGGGTGGGAGTATGAGGTGTGGAATGGAGTGAAGTCCAATCAGCTTCCATATGCAAAAGACCTTGAAGGTTCCGTATGCAACTGACATTCCAACTGCCTTGCGGGGAGGGGGGTGAGTCTGAGGTGTGGAATGCAGTGAAGTCCAATCAGCTTCCATATGCAAAAGACCTTGAAACGCTGGGCGGGACTGCACAAAGCAGCCAGTCAACCCAGCCAGCGTCTTCTGAGTGGCAGTTATTCCGGCCTAACACTAAAGGCGGGCATTTTAGAATGTTCATATAGAATGTTCTTACTCAATTATATATAAGGAGAGATAGGTCTACCAATGGGTTCTCACGGAGGTGAATAAAGGGAAGCTCTCTATTCAGAGGTAGGAAGCCTCTGACGATCAGTGCTAGGAGGCAATATCAGGGGAAGGCCTTGGCCTCTATGTCCTGTTCACTGGCAGTTCAAGGCAACTGGTTGGCAAGTGTGTATAACAGGATGCTGGTCTGATCCATCAGGGCTCTTCTTCTGTAGCTAATAATTGTGTCATTTTGGCAGTGTCATGTCATGGTAAGAAAATATGCCTCTGCTGAGATTTCCTTCCTACAACTCCAAACATTTGCTCCGTGATTTTTCTGTGTTAGCAGAAGTAGAATACGTTACACAAGGGTTTAGGGCGGTATATGAAATTGAAGGTTAAATAAATAAAAAATAAATAAAATATCTGCAAATCTTCTTGAGCTGTATGATGTATTCAGGGTGGCAAATTCGGTCAGTTTTTTGGGTGGGTATCAAGAGTACATGGAGCTGCGGTGGCTCAAGTGGTTAAGATGCTGAACTGCAGGCTGTCGGTAGTTTAGCAGTTTGAGAATCAAGTGTGCCGCATGACGGAGTGAGCTCCCATCTCTAGTTCCAGCTCCTGCCAACCTAGCAGTTCGAAAGCAAGAAATTGCAAGTAGATAAATAGGTACCACTTTGGTGGGAAGGTAACAGCGTTCCATGTGCCTTGGTGTTTAGTCATTCCAGCCACATGACCACGGAAATGTCTTCGGACAGTGCTGGCTCTTCGGCTTTGAAACGGAGATGAGCACCGCAACCCTAGACTCGGATTTGACTGGCTTTCAAGCAAGGGAAAGTTTACCTTTACCTTTATCAAAAGTACATATTCTGTGGGGAGTTGTTGTGGGTTTTTTTAGTGTGGCAGTGTAATGCTTTTCCTGTTAATTGCTACAGCTAAATATTTCTACCAACTCTAAACTATTGTTTTTAATACTTAAAATGATAAGAAGAGCCAGCACAACATCCCCTTCCTAGTCTGGTCTTTCACCTATCTATTTCTGGATGCCTGGATAGTGCATCTGATTTTAAGTAGATCTGTGAAGCCAGGGGACCTAATCTTCGATTTATGCCACTTCCCCTCCTAAAACAATTGGTTACGAGTAAACAGGAGAGTCAGCGATTGGTTTGCCCCAGGCCACTGTTTTACGGATGCGACAGTCGTTCTGAAAAAAATAAATTCTCTTCCTTCAGAGTGTTGGCTGTGATTACGAGATAAATTCCAACTCGACCGAAGATCGATGTGGCGTTTGCCTGGGAGACGGGACTTCATGCCAGACAGTGATGATAACATTCAATCAAAGCGAAGGACTAGGTAAAGGACGCTTTTCTTCCCCTATTGCTTTGCTGAGGTCATTCCAATAAACAACAGTGTGGGAAATATTTTCTACCAAGGAAAATGGTAGCAAGGAATCGAAGGACGACGTGGGGATTCAGGGGCTCGCCGACGTGGGGATTCAGGGGCTCGCCCTTCAATGGCTTCCCTCTTTTCTCCGTGGTCGGGGACAAAAGGTGGTGATAGGGGAGCAGCAGTCCCGGAGGCACCCTCTAGTGTGTGGGGTGCCTCAGGGGGCTGTTCTCTCCCCGCTATTGTTTAACATCTATATGCGCCCCCTTGCCCAGATTGCCCGGAGGTATGGGCTTGGGTGTCATCAATATGCGGATGACACCCAGCTCTATCTGATGTTGGGCGGCCGGTCGAGCTCTGTCCCTGAAGATCTGCACCGGGCATTACAGGCCGTGGCTGGTTGGCTCCGACTGAGCAGGCTGAAGTTAAACCCGGCGAAGACGGAGGTCCTGGGCCTGAGTCGCGGTGGTTTGGGGTTAGGGCTCCCTCTCCCGACCTTCGATGGGGTGCCTTTGGTGCCAGCGCCGGAGGTTAGGAGTTTGGGAGTGCTCCTGGACTCCTCGTTATCTATGGAGGCCCAGGTGGCAGCCACTGCCATGTCAGCCTTCTACCATCTGCGGCTGGTGCGGCAGTTGGTCCCCTTCCTCGACCGCAGTGACTTGGCCACAGTGATCCATGCGACAGTCACCTCGAGGCTAGACTACTGTAACGCTCTCTACATGGGGCTGCCTTTGTCACAAATCCGGAAGCTGCAGCTAGTGCAGAATGCTGCGGCCAGGCTGTTGATGGGTCTTCCTAGAAGGGACCACATCCAGCCTGTGCTGAAAGCGCTGCACTGGCTGCCAATAGCGTACCGAATTCGTTTCAAAGTGCTGGTTCTTACCTTTAAAGCCCTACATGGTCTGGGTCCAGCTTACCTAAGGGACCGCCTTCCCTCATATGTTCCCCCGCGAGCACTTCGGTCCGGGACCCAACATCTCCTGGCAAAGAGGCCAGGCTGGCCGCTACCAGGGCCAGGGCTTTCTCGGTGGCGGCTCCTATCTGGTGGAACGAGCTCCCGGAGGAGATCCGGGCCCTGCGGGACCTTGTGCAGTTCCGCAGGGCCTGTAAGACGGAGCTCTTCCACCAGGCGTATGAGTAGGAGCCGCCACTACCATCATCATTATTCCATCTTCACCTAGCCCTGGATGAGGGAACATCAATGCTTCCCTGGAGCAGACGATGCTGAACAGTTCAAATATGCCATCTCTGAAATTTCATGTAGAACATCTAGAGCACTTTAGTCAGTAACTCGTTATGAATGTTTTGTACTGTTGGATTTTAAATGGTTTTAATTATGTTTTATATTGGTGTTTGCCCCTATGTAAGCCTCCCTGAGCCCGCATTGCGGGGAGGGCGGGGTATAAATTGAATTAAATAAATAAATAAGGAGGAGGACTTTCAGACGTCACTAGGTCAGGTGAACCATGACATTAGGGATGCCATTTAGGACCAGTGGAGGGGTATCACTCCTTCCTCCTCGCCTCTGTGCTTCAGTTTCAAACCACATGTGGTGATTCCTCAGGCGCGCCTCTCTATGGTTATTCAGTGGTAGGAAACTCAACGAATGTTATCACTGAGAATAACACTAAGCAGTTGTATAGCCCCCAAAGACTTCCTACATGTTATTTTGATTTAATCCCTGCAAAAGCCCTTTAAGGTAGGTGAATGTTACTAACCTCCATTACAAATGGGGGGTGCTGAGAGAAGAGTGGTTTGTCTAAGTCTATCTAGCGAATTCAAGGCAGAGGTACAACTGAGAACTTCCTAATTCGTTGCATAGCCTCTTAGTCGGCGTGGTGTAGTGGTTTAGAGTGGCAGACTCTAATCTGGAGAACCAGGTGTGGTTCCCCACTCTTCCACATGAAGCCTGCTGGGTGACCTTGGGCCAGTCACAGTTCTCTCAGAATTCTCTTAGCCCCACCTGCCTCACAAGGTGCCTGTTGTGGGGAGAGGAAGGAGATTGTAAGCCACTTTAAGACTCCTTAAAGCAGAGAAAAGCAAGGTATAAAAACCTACTCTTCTTCTTCTTAGTCACTATGGTACAAAAGCTCTCATAGACTCATGTATGCAGTTTACTTCTGAGTATATCAAACCTCTAAGGTTGCGGTCACACATGCCAGTTGGAGCGGAGGGGACCGCAAGGCTATTCCCTTTGGAGGAATTTGACCCACAGTTGTGAGATCACACATCCCCTTTGTGCTGTGGGCACAGTCCATCACTGTGTGATCAGACACCACCACAGGTGAGTAATTTTTTTTGGCTGTTTGTTTCCCATGCGCATAAACGAGGAATCCACTTTTAACTCCCCTTCCATGGCGGAGCAGCACAGGTTGCTGACAATGCGGGGCGTTTCCCAGATGTTGCCTTTAGATCTGTCAGGCGTTCAAAGCTATGTCGGATCTGAAGGTGCATGTGATTGCAGCCTAAGAGTCTTATTTAGGGATCTAGTGTGGTGGAATGCTTAGTACAGCAAACAAGGATTGGGCAGACTCCAACTCCAAGTCCCCATTCAGGCATGAGGCTCACTGGGGCCAGTCATACTTTCTTAACCTGGCCTATCTTTCAGGGTTCTTGTTAAGACAGAATGGAGAAAGGATGAATCATACACACTGCCCTGAGTTCCAGTTTGGTGTAGTGAGAGCCAGTTTGCTGTAGTGGTTAAGTGTGCGGACTCTAATCTGGGAGAACCGGGTTTGATTCCCCACTCCTCCACTTGCACCTGCTGGTGTGACCTTGGGTCAGTCACAAGCTCTGGCACAGCTGTCCTTGAAAAAGAGCAGTTGGTGTCAGAGTTCTCTCAGCCCCACCCACCTCACAGGGTGTCTGTTGTGGGGAGGGGAAGGGAAAGGAGTTTGTAAGCCGCTCTGAGACTCCAAGTGAAGGGCGGGGTATAAATCCAATCTCTTCTCTTCTCTTCTTCTCTTCTTTGAGGGAGGGTGGGATTTAAAAAGTTAAATATTTTTACAGCCCATTGTAGCTGTAGGGGAGGGGAAGGGAAAAGGAGTTTGTAAGCCACTCTGAGACACATTTGGGTAGTGAAGGGCGGGGTAAAAAAATTTTTTTTATTAGTAGGATATCATATCAAATTCAACATTAAATCAATATTTTCAACCCATATCCCTTTCATTGACTCCCATCCCCTCTTCTGGCTTCCCACAGTGGTCCCACCCCCTCCCCTTGTGTCTGCTCTTCTAATTCTCACGTCTTTACACATCAACAATTGAAATTAATTGGTAACCATTTCTTATGCATATTTCTTATCTCTATCCATCATATCGGAGTACATGACTTATTTTTTAAGAATTATCAAAACAAAATAGATTATTTTTCACATCCCAATCTTTCTCCAGATATTATTTAAAGTCTATCCAGTCCGCCATAAACTCCTCTGGATCCTTATTGTTCAATTTCCTTGTCAATTTGTCCATTTCCACTATTAAAAAGCAGTTTTCTAATCCATTCCCAAATTTCTGGCACTTTTTCTTGTTTCCAAGATTGAGCAAAAGTCATTCCAGCTGCTGTAATCAAATACCACATCAGAGTTCTCTTAGTCATATTCACATCTTCCATTTTGTCCCAACAGTAGTACTTCTGGCTCTTTCTTTAAAATTACACTTTCTTCTCTTCTACCTTTAAGAGCAACTTGGTCAGCAAAAACTAGCAGGTGATAATATTGATCTCTGTGTCAGATAACCTTCATCCTGCTGATTTCTGCACATGGAAATGCTATGAATAACACAGGAGCATGCCATGTCTGTGGTTCTTGTCAGTTGGCAACCCTAGTTTCCCCTCTCCTGTTGAAATATCCTTCCTTATCCACCCGAACTTGCAATGCCCCCCATGACTGCAATAACCGCTTTTGAATTTATTTTCAGCCAATGCCTGCATATCCAGAGGGCAAATGTAAGTTATTGGGGATAATTTTCACTGATGAAGACCAAATGTTACAAAGATGCACCATTTTATTATCAAGAACTTGTATTTGCTAGTTGGTGGGATAGAAACTGTAGCATAAAGAAACAGAAACAAGTGCGGCATGTAAGTTCACTGCAGAGAGATGTAAGGGGATACATGGTGGAACAAAAAGGCTGACTTGAAATATCCACTGAACTGGCTGAGGCTGAGAGGGAAAGAGAAAGCTCAATGAAAATGTCTACCCAGTGTGTGGTGTTGGTGAAAAAGGCAAACACCTTGCTGCGGTTTCCATTCTGTATGGCTAAATGTGGTGCTTTCCATGGATATAGGTCAAGATAGCTGTGGTCCCGTTCACACTAGGCGATTTGGGCCGGGAGCAGGACAGTTCGGGGCCGGATCAAACCGGCGCGATCACACCACAACATCTGGGAAGCATCTTGCTTCCGTGCCCGAACTGTCCCTTCCCCGCACAAATCCGCCGCAAACTGAACCACCTACCTTAGGTGGTTCAAATAGACGCGGCGCGGCAAGCGGGGCGTTTGATCGCCGGTGCGTCCTTGCGCCGGCACAACCCCGGCCCGGATCCGAACTGCTCATGCTCCGACATGCGCAGTTCGGCCGGCTCCCGGTCAGGGCCATGTTTTCTCCCCGGCGTTTGATCATGCCGGGGAGAAAAGGCACCGCGGCCAGGGGATCCGTGGGATCCCAGTAGAAAAGAGTAAGAGTCCAGCAGCACCTTAAAGACTAACAAAATTTGTGGCCGGGGATGAGCGTTCATGAGTGCTGCTGGATTCTTACTTTTTTTCTGGCATCTCCAGTTAACAAGGATCAGGCTGTACGTGGTGTGAAAGACCTCTTCTTGAGACCTTGGAGAGCCACACCACCAGTCTGAGCAAACAACCTTGATGGACCAAGGGTCTGATTCAGTATTAAGGCAGCATCATGTGTTCATGTGCATTCAGAGCTGAGAGAAATAAAGAAGAAAGTAGCCAAGATAATTATAGGGTTGG